TTTTCATCAAGTACTGGTAGTAATATAGAGCTAAGCAAATTGTATTTGATACGGTCACAACTACTAATTCTGCACAATACTAATTCTGTTAGTTATCATCACCACAGAAATGGAGCTATGGGACATTAGTACAGTAGATTGCTTAGAGCATGGACTGATTAGCACCATACAGTAAAGAAACAATCAATTTAGATTTTTAATTGATTCAGAGCGAGCAACCTAGTCTGTAATGAATACCCCTGGAAGTTTGGATTCAGAAAGCAGTCATATTTTGTTTGTGTTTTGTCACCTTTCCACTGAAGTTTATGATCGCAGGTTGATCAATTAGAAGAACAAAACCCAAATGCAGTTTGTAGCAACCATACTCTACAGTTTTAGCAAAAATGCCATAAAGCCAAAGTGATCTAATAATGCATTTTCTGACTGGAATTGCTATCATCAAGCAATTGTTTAATAAATTCTTTAAAGACAAAAGATGTCCAAAAATAAAAAAGAGCAGGAATAAGTCCCTCCGCTATGTTACTTTCTCCTTAATCACACAGCCAGGGGTTTCAAGTGCTAATGTTTGGGATGTTTGTATGGGAAAGCCCTTTAATAGTAAGTTTTTTCTCTTTGTGGATGTTCTCTGATATTCACAGCTCAATTGGATTAGTTTTTTCAGCAGGTCAAATGATGTAAACTCTTTTCTTATACCGACTCAGTAATTATATGCAGGGGTATCCTATTGTCTTTTTGGTGACAACTATTTATTTTGTTCTAAGCGTGCTTGTTTGAAAACTGAGCATCATAGATTCTCGTTTCTCATATCAAGGTTACCTTTGTATTCACCACATAAGTGGAAATAAAGCTTTGGGTCATAATCCACGCTGAGGATTTAATTAACACTATAAGAAGCAGGACACTCGGATCAGGTTGTATCCTGCTCCCGGTGGCTTCAGCCCAGTGGGAATCTTTTCACACTAGTCCAGTGAAAAAAGATTGAGCAAACAGCTGTCTGCTTTTAGGAGCTCCAAGCACACCATCCAGGATTCACCCACTGAGTTACCCTGGGTAACAAAAGCCAAATAGCCTCCCCGAAACCTTCCTGTTGCTCTGGGAGGGCAGAACTAGCTGATAGAAAACTCGGACCTTGAATAAAGCAAAGTTATCTTGGCGGACAAACTCAACTCTTGTTGAGAGCTGCTGGGCCCTCCAGTTTTTTTAAAACTAAATTAGTTGATCTACTTATCGACTCAAATGTGGATCTTTTCCATGCCCTCATAAATTAATAACGGCCATGTTTGATTCAAAGTAGCTATAGTAAACCTTTATCCTGCACGACCATGAAATGCACATTACCAGCAAATCAAACATACAGTATAGGCCAATAAAATCACAAAATTCATCAGAGTACAAGAATAAATGCCACAAGAATCTGAGGTCACTTGGACATCCACTTTGTGCCACTTCTGAACATATACAACAGAGGGGCCGTCTCATAAGATAAGAAAATCCTTTCATTCCTGAAAAGTCAGTTTGTGTTGTTACCTCAACATTAGACATGTAAAGAAAGACAATAATGAAAGGCAATTGTGATGTTTTGAATGAGGTGTTTTTTTAGGGAAATATATGAGATGCTTTCTTTTAGAGTGGAATGTTCTATTGCACAAGAAAAAAATGTCTCCTGAGACACAGGAGTTCTAAAGAACCTCTGGAGAAAAGCCACAAAAATCCACCTGTACTTCTTGAGATGGGTCAATTCAACTGCTAACAAACAGGTGTTTGGTGCAGACCTTATTAAATAGAAACAAACAAAACATGAGCATACCTGTTGCAGATAATTTATGGAAGCAGCAGACAGGGAAGATAAATAGACTTACAAATTGCACTGTCTTGTATATTTAAGTTGCAGCTAAATTGCATCTACCTACATCATGGGACAAAACCCTGCTCAGGGTTCAAAGACATAGCAACTGAACAGCTGCCAGTTGTCATCTATGTTGTCAACTTCTGGTCTGGAGGACACCAGGTTCCTCTCTCCCTCCCAAACATGCAATTATTCAGACCAGATGAGAACTAATTACCAGGACATCCTGGTATTTCAGCTAACAGTTATTTTCAGAAAAATATGAAACACAAAATACAATCACATTGTTATTGACAGGGACGTTTATTCGTAATTTTAATGTCTATGAGTGACATAGAAGTGGAAGTCCCCATTGAAGAGTCTCTTTAAGTGATAATAATACATTTTGCTTTATTAACTGTGATTAAGGAAATAGGTGTTTAGTGTCTGGTAACCACGTTTTAGAAATACATTTTAATTGTTTTGGTGTTTATCTGTTAGCTTTACAGTAAAAAAATTGCATTGTAGTGGGATGTTGATAACAAAAACTGTGACACTACCAGTTTGAAGTAAGGAGAAAATAGTAAATAGTAAATTGTAAAATAGTAAATAGTAGATTGTAAAATAGTAAGTAACCACTAAAGGGAGACGTAGAGTCACTTAGTTTACAGAATATCTTCTGTTTTATCTACACTATTTTAATTAGAGTCTGTAAAAAGGATTAACCTTATAGAACTGGAATCTAAATCATGTGGTAATGAAAGCAATTTCTTCTGCCCTGCTACCAGAGCTGTGCTCTACCAAAAGTGGTAGAACATACTCAGACATGTTAGTGACCATGTTACTATTTAACATGGTGACACTTAGAAACATGTAACATAACATGCATTTAAGAAAAGAATGCACAAGATGAAACCATGTGGATATTACATCAGGATGCCAAACCCTTTTGCAGGTATGTCGATGAGTTTGGATTGAAACAGTAGCTTTCTCACACTTTACACATTTTATGTAATCTACATGCAATATTTTATTTAGCTTTAATATGTGTGTTTGATAATTCAACTCACACACAGTACTTTTTTTCATAATCGGACTCAAACATGGTTCTGATGTTTGTAATTAGTTTCTACTTTTCCTTGCATTTATAAACAGCTCTTAGAACATGTAATGTGAAAGGATTCCTTATTTGGAAACCCTACAGTAATATTAAGATAAAAAAAAAATATGTGAAATTTCAGACTTTGCCAGATTGATAAAACCCAGACTTGGCAAGACATCACTCTAGACAGAGTACAGATCCAGGGTAAAAATACATGCTCTTGCATATTGAAATCTGGTAAAGCTATTGAAAATCAGATGCTACCAAAACACACTTCAAATTTGCCCAGCTGCTACAATAATTTGATGTGCCTCTTCATATCTGGTAAACATGCATCTCAAATTGTATCTAATAAAAACCCATTTGGCCAATTAAAACAATTCTTCTCCAACTGCAAATTGTTTCTGCTGAGAAATGATTTGTTCAATGAAAACATAAATATTACCACTCTAGGGCAATCAATTTTGGCAATCAAATGTAAACTCTGACTTCATCTCTGGATCAATATACTGTAATTCAAAATTAGGGAAAATGTTTCCCTGTAAATTTTGTGCAATTCCAAGGTTTCAAATTTTCTTGGAAACCACTGTAAGCACCTAATCTTAAAATGGACAGTTTCCAAACTAACACACTTAAAATGTGTGAATCATTATTTGCTTTGATAATGTGGTGAAACAAGATGGCTTACAAAAATCTATTAAAGTTAAGTAGCTAAAAATGGCTAGCTTAATTTTGAAGTCAGCAATATGCTTTTCTAACATTTGTTTATAAAGATATTTCTCTCTAAACGTTGTACTGGTTTGAAAATTAACTCACAATAACTGAATCAAGTAATTGTCATCCCTGGAAAATAATCTGAAATTTTATCCATACTTGGATAGAGATAACAACTTTTCCACTGGCAAGGGTTATTACTGTGATTAGATTGTTGAAGCGTTAAGAGTATTAAAAGTCTGTTTCTGTTGCCCTGAATAGACAATATCCTAGGCACACACAATTTCCTCTTTTCAAGCCTTAGGAATTGTGTCTGAGATGTGCTGATATTTAATCTGATATTTAAAATCAATGTAATCACTCAGTGAATGATTGGCCACTACTATGAAGGCAGATTGATTCACATACTATGTAATTTATTGTTGTTTTTGTTATGGATTGTACATTTGATATTGTATGAAAAAATGGCATATGCTATGCTTTTAAAACATGAGCAGATTGCTTTTTATTTTCCAGTATTTTGTCTAATTTGCCTTAGCAGCCGTAAAAGCATTTTGTCAATTTACTGTTTCAATTTCTAATCGTTCTAGTAAATTCAAAAGAATTACATCACTACACCAGCCTACCCAGACAATTGATTGCTGGATTTGTTCATGATATGTCCTTGTTCAAAACAGCTCATTCTGTTTTTGAGTACCTTTTTGAAAAAAAGTTTTATATACAGTATATTTCATTTCTTCATTGTGCTGCTTAGACTGTTTAGGACTTAGTAATACTCTTGTTTTATCAGGCTTTAGACATGAACATTCCATTTATTTAGATTAAACACAAAATAAAGGCATATAAGGTATTAATAAGAAAGTTTATTGATTCATTGATTTATTGATATAATGTTCACTTTTCTGGATCCACAGTATAACCAAGGAAATTGAAAGGACTGTAGTACATATGACAAGAGACAGAATATTAAGTACAGGATTAGTTACAACATTCCTGTCTGATGTTTAATATATATATAGATTGTACTTGGGGGTCACAGACTTTCCTGGGTTTGTAACCTCTATACAAAGACAGATATAGTCAGATAACAAGATCTCTCCCTCTGTAGCCTTTTTTGTTGTTTCTGTGCTGTTTGTCATTATACTGTATGTGTATGATATACACTCTATCTCACATGTCTATGCTGTTTCTGTGACACCAGTATAAAAAGATTTGAAACTGGATGGATGAAAAAACAGCACAGTTTTTGCTATTCATAAATCCAGGCTATGAGGCAGAAAAATTACAGTATTTAGCAGTATTTATAAGTGCTTTTTAATTTCCTTTTAAGTACAGTAAAGTCGGCAGAATTCTTAAATTAAATGTAATGCTTTTTCAGTATTTTACAGGCACATACATATTTTAAACAGTACAGTACATCTTAAAACCACAAAACCACATACTGCATTCCCAACCAAAGACTTAATGTCTATTTTATTCAAGCTTCTTTTTATGAAAAACTGTTGTAATCTATATATTTAGAGTTTGCAAAAAATTAACTGCTTAAGTCAGATCAACACTGTGTGTCCAGGATTCTGCATGAGAAGAAAGGATCAGACAGACACAGTGATTTGATCGACAGTTTTGACAGGATGGAACAATCTTACACAGCCTCAGTTTATCAACTCCTACCAGGGTCATTTTAAGCAATCAGGACCTTCAGGAACACCCAAGGGTCTTCTGTCAAAGTCCATGTGGTCCATGGAAAAATAATTTAGCCCCCATACTGGAGGTGATATAATTAATATCTCACACGATTGTCACTTCTGTTTTTGTTACCAGACCCACTTTGACATATATTATTCTGGGTGACTTAAATTTTAATCATCCTTTTCTATATTCAGTAACAATACTCTGTAATTGGATCGGCCTAGAGGTTAAGGGAGGGGCTTTATTGAAAATGAGAGTTTCAAAATTGTTCCCCATCCAGAGAACAAGCCTGACAACCCCTGAGTTAGATGATTGTGGTATCTATCATGCCTTGGATCTGCTGAAGCTACTCAGTCACTGAGGTAGGTGCCGTTGTAATGGAAGGGTTTATCAGAAACGCAGTGGCCCACGACCTCAGGAGTCCAACGCTGCACAGCAACGCTCTTCCCACGTGGTCGAACAATGATGGTGTTACGTGAGGCCAGCGACGGGTCCTCATCAAAGAAGTTAAAGGGACGCAAGAAGAAACCCACTGCATTGCCGGGGGTGGCCGTGTTGGGGATATCCTCCGAATGAGGGATATGCAGGAAGCCCACTGTCACCCAGGCAACCAGGTCCTGAAGAGAAAGAAGGAAGGGTCACTGAGTCATTGTGATACAACTGTGTAATGGTGAGCTGAATAATTCATTTTGTGTTATTAGAAAACAAACCATTCAGCATGCCGAGTCAAGATCAAAGTCCTGTTCGGCTCTGAAAGATCAATCTACCAAAACCCATCTAATGAATTTATTTCAGGTATTAACATTCAGTATCAAAAGGACAATGTTATTATGGAAGTATGAAGTTGTATTTATCAGTATTTAATGTGATAAAAGACTGCCAATTCTAAGTTTTCCTTTGCATTTTCACTTCACATTCCCACCACAGTGGGTGTTTTCCGGGATTTCAGTTTGTAAAGTTTACCGTGTTCTCAATATTCTCGTTATTGCGGATATAATCCTCGAAGGAAACCACAGGCTCCCATGGGTCATTCTGAGTGTAGATGCTGCTGCTAGTCAACTCGCTGTCCTTGTGCCGGGTCACTGCTAATGGATACCTATCCCATAGGAATGAGAGAAGATATGGTTAGGGCTGCTCTCCAAAAAGCAAAACTGCTGTACATTATACATCATGCTCTCCACAAAGAAAAACTGCTGTACATCATTGTAGTAACCAGTGTACAAGGTGTTTTTGACTATTTTGAAAATATGGTAAACTGTAGCAAAGGACACGGAAAAGCTTAAAAATCAAATCAATGTGAGATTCAAGTAAACAAACTAGAAGCGTTAATAAAAGGGAGATGGAGACAGATAGAGAAAGCAGCAGTCAGAGGAATTCCAAGAGTGCTGATATTTGCCAGAACATTTAAATTGAGGGTAATGCTGGTAAAATGCTGGTAAATTGGAGCCATGCCAAACATGCTGTACTGCACTTTAGTAAGGCCAGGAGCTATGATAAAATGTTTTTCTTTTTGCTTACACATTAGACAAAGATCAACTGGACTTTGGAAGCAGGCAGGATTATCAGATCTTGCTGAAGTCCAAATTCACGATTATTTGCTTATGATTATGACATGTGAAGGACAGTAAGGACATTGCCCTGAGCAATTTGTTTGTATCAAAATGACTTGCACTGTTGCTTTCAGTCAACTGTATAGAGTGACAGCTTGTGAATTCTTAATTTACTTTTATAGAAAAGTAGGAGACAAGAATAGCACTAGTGTCAACATACGTATGGACAAAGTGTATTCGTGATTTTTAAAATCATCTAATTTCATTCATCACAATTGGTTCTCTATGTCCCCTGCTCAAAACAGCAAAATGAACTTTGAATGTTTTTTTCTTTCAGGGGAACTGATTTGAGGCAGTGCAGTTTAAAATGTTGTGTTACCCAGCCTTCCCAAAACATGCTACCAAGTTAGGAATTAGTAGCAAGGGCTTGCACTTGAGGGCATGGGACACACTGAGTATTCTGACCTCTTTGTTGGTTACAGGGCTCTAGCTGTGCCTCTGGGCTGAAGACCAGCCCTCTTCTAGTTCTGTATAGGCTGTACCTGGACCAGCTGACACCATTCTCTTCGCGCCAGCCTCGTGGAAGCACGCTGTGAGCATGAGAGTTGTACTGGATGCGATAGCCTTTCTTGTGGCCCCACTTGTTGCTCCTGTTGGGGTTGTAGAAGTGCAGGTAGCGGGGGAAGCTCTTGCCGAAGCGGAAAGCGGCGCTGCGCTCGGTGCGATGCTGGGTGCGGTGCAGGCGTGATTGCACAATGGTGTGCTCAGGGCTCCAGGGGTTGGTGATGTTCTCGTACTTCACATGCAGAGACTCGAAGCTGTTCTCCCGGCCTGGTTAAGGAGACAGATTCAATAGGATCAAACCATTGGCATTCTACTGCAGTACAATATTTCAGGGGTGTGGAACGGAAGAAGCAAAATTATGATTCATTGTGAAACTTCCTTCGGTCCAAATCATAATGTTTAACTGCTGCAGAACAACAGGGGCAAATGCATGTGTACTCAAGGCCAAGAGTGATTTTCTCTGTCTATAATCCTCTCATGCTAGTGCTGAGAGAGGAGGAGGAGGCATTATGCAAAACTCAGCTCTATTGCTTGGCAAGTAAATAGTGCTTTTCAAGGCTAGAAGGGGCAACTGCAGTTTCAGCTGAAAAGGGCAAGTGCTGGCTAGCCTGTGTGATGGATGAAAATTAAAAGCATTGTTACACACATCTAAGATTAGAATAAACACCAGCAAAAGCAGCCCTAGCAGTAGAGAAGCTTGAAGAGACATTAGTCTTGACTTCCGAAAGCCCTAATCACTACAGAATGTGCCAAGTGGTATGAGGAGCAAAGTTAAGATGAAATACTAACATCCTCACTCAAAAAACAAAAAAGATAAAACCAAGAATGGTTTCATGGCTCTAGATATCATCAACAAATGCAAAAGTGCGCTCCCGTGTCTCAGTTAATGGTTCTGTTTTTACAACACCATTTTCCATTCCAGAGGCAATAAACTCTTATTACTCTTATTACTGTATGTAAATATAGATAAAGTGAAGCTTTAATTGCTAACCTTGCTAAAACTGAATTTGTTTGGATTGTGCAAGATATTTGTTTTAATTCTGCCTCTGTCAGATAGTTTGAGGTGCAGCAGAAGGTCTTTTATTCTTCCTGTTAAGGAAACATGAAGAAATGTTAGACCATAAACATACCTCCTATGTCCAAGTCGACCTTATAATTGATGAGGTGGGTGTGCATGTTGCCTAGAACGTAGCTGTACACACGGGTGCCATAATTCAGGCCCTCAGGAGTGAAGAAGGTGGCATGGATGTACCCAGTAGCACTGACTCTAGCCTCCACCACCCCATTCTGGTAGAAATAGAAGTCCCAGATATAGTCATAATTGTAGACTGTAGAGGTAGTTCTGATCACGAGCACATGGTTCTCCAGGCCTCCAAAGAAGTTGTAGCCACCATGAAAGTTGCTGTTGAAGTGTCTTCTCAGAGGCATCCCTGTGGTCATCTCAAAGATGCAGAGGGCATTTTTGTAGCGTAGAGGCTTGTCTGTGTCATAGAAGTGATACAGGTCCAGGAAGGTGGCAATTTCAGGGCAGTCAATGCCTGGAGCAAGTTCATAGTCAGATGTCCCCATTGCCCAGCCAGCATCGATGTACTTTGTCTGCATGGCAGCTGGGGTATTCCCTGCATAGAAAGCAATAGCCTCTTGTAGGCTGACCTCATAGGCCACCCTCTCTCCATTAAACCGCAAATCAAATAGTTGCAGGCCAGCAGAGGAGCGCACCCTGAACGCAAAGGACCAGCCTGCGTATTCCACGAAGTTCCCATCAACGTGGTAGCGTGGACCTTGAGGTTCCACCAGCTTGGGCCCATGTATGTTGGAACGTGTGTTGCTCTGGCCTCGAGGGATATAGGTGGAAAACAGGTCCTCGTCATCATGCTCAGGCAGCTTCAGCTTTTCCAAGCGATTCTTGTCATAGCTGTCCACCAACTCCTCCACACTGTTGAAGTACTGTCCATTATACCACACCTTTTCGACAGCCCACTTAGATGGGTCAAGTGACTGATGGTTTATGAGGACCTCAAATCCTATCGGGTGGATGAAGTAACCTTCCACAAATTTCTGCAACATGATCCAGGTCCTCCTTTCCCCTGAATCCAGTCCACGTGGTGCAATATCTGAGAAGGTTAAGCACCGGTTGCTGCAGTTGTAGAAGGAAAAGCCTGTGCTTTCCAGAAGGAGTGTGTGGGCCTTATTGGTGATCTTGTGCAGCACAGCATTGATGTGTTCATACTCCACTGAAGTGATAGGCCGGGATTCAAATTTAATGGCTCGTTTGCTTTTGAAGGTTTTGAGTGTGTAGGCAGTGGGGTAAGGTAGGGGCCCAACGAGGTATTCTGTGATGTTTGGTTTTGACTGGTCACCAAACTGCACAACTACCCTGGCTTGGCGTGCAGGCTTGGCATGACCACGGTCCAGAGCCTTCAGAGCCTCATTCTTCCTGGGAATATGCAGCTCCACAAGAAGGATACTGTTTTTCTTCAAGGTTTTGCTTTTTGCAGATGAGAGGCTAAGCTCAGGGCAAGACATAAGAAAATCCCGCACTGCTCTAATTTCTCGGGGAGTCAAGTCAGCAAAAATGGAGGCCCCATGACGTGCCCATTCTCTCTGTGCAGGACTTGCATAGGCTGTGACACTCAGTGCAACCAGGACAAGTACGTAGTGGGACAACATTTCTTTTTGGGATCTGCAGAATTAGAGAAGGGACAATGCTATAACAAAACAAAATGGTAAATCCACCATCTAATCAATGCAGCTATTAGTTTTGTAAAGCATACTTCTTACAATCTTCCGTCTGCAGGGTGCAGGCCAAACTGTTCTAAGGGAACTTTTAATTTATTCTCAAGATATTTATATAATGACACTGTGATTTGCCACTATTTGCAACATCATTAAAAATGTTGTGGAACTTTGTGTCAACCTTTCAGAATACACAAGCCTTCATCAGAAGTTCAGCCAATTTGATCTTTCCATTATTAATTTTTCCTGGACAACAATTTTTTATTTATTTTATTTAAGAGCACTTCTTTTCTGTTTTTCCTTTATAAACAAACCATCCATCTTTAATACCATGAATATGAGAGTGTTTCGGTAAATGGCTCATTGGCTCAAATAGCAACACTAAAACTCATGGGCCTCAAATTTTAAGGATCTGCAGTGCACAGTTGTCTGCTGCAAGAGATCAACAATTCATATTAATGCCTGAATGCTCAATGGCTTGTATTGTATGTTGCTTAAAGTACCAAACTATGAGCCAAAGAGTGGAGAACTCAGCAAGACCAAGGATAACATTAAATGGTAGGCTTTGCGTCTTAATTTATCTGTTAATGAAGCTGCTAAAAATAAAAGCTGCTAAAAGTTACATTACAAATGCTGAAAATCAGTAAATAGTAGTGAATAAGTTAATTCCTGGGATGACACTTCTGAAAGGTTGCCTTATGAAATATTTCTCATTGTAAAACATTTAAAACCCAGTTTAAACATATCACCTTTTTGCTGTGCATGATGAAAAGTTAAGTTATAAACAACAGTTTTGGGCTTTATATGATTATGTGTTCTCAATTACTTGTTTTGTTTTATAGTTGTGTAACCATTTACTGTATCATCCCTATCTGAACAAAGTGTATATGATTCATAAAATCAATAACATCAGGTCATAATCAGTTTATTTGTGGGTCTAGAGACATTTTTATGGTTAAGATAGATCTTGATAACTGATTTCCAGGCATTGTTAAAATAATAACTCAGTAAATGTATCTTTTTTCCACTTGCTCATATCAAGCATATATCAATTTTAAGTGCTCCTGATTTTACTGCTGTCACCTGCTTCCCATTGTTAGAAGGGTGAACATTTTGAGTAGTTCCTCCTACAGTATAAGGATTTCTTGTGCCCCAAACTGGTAACTCTTTAGAACAGTTACCTTAATCATTAGAATTTGTCATTAATTTCTTTTCATAATAATAATTGTTCCTGTTAGTGTGGACTACTAAGGCACTCCATTATTTTGTCTAGAAACCCCAAAATGTTTTTGTATTCTTTAATCTGAACTCCAGAACTTGGAATGAATGATCACTCTTTTCACTAAGTATAAGGTTGCACCAATACAACATTTTGCTAAGCTTTTCTCTTCCAGAAGACAGCTCACCACTGCATCCAAGGATCTGTCATAATACTGTAAAGGCCTGCCCATTTAAATGATATATATCAAATTCAAATTATTTATTGATGGAGTAACCACATACTGTATGAACTACTCCTGATCCTGATCAATCCACAGGGATAATAACAATTGCTAAAACTTGTATCCTTTAAACTCCTAAAAAACATTTCAAACTCTTGTTTTCACTAAGAGTTCCAGTCTCTCCTGCCCTGCCTCCTGGATGAGCTCAGGGCTGCTATAACCCTTACCAGGAACAGGTAGCTTTCAAACTCTGGGTTTCTTCATGGAATGACTGGCTGAAATGTTTTATTCTCTTACTCATTAAACTACTGCTGTCTTTCTTATATTCTTAATCATATCTTTATGTTTAGTATTATTACTTGATTATTATTTTTTTTTATTTTAGGTGATGTTTTTAGTTAAAGCACCTTGGATAATAGAAATATGTACTGTACATTACCCATTTATACAGCTGGGGATTTTACTGAAGCAATCTGAGTAAAGCACCTTGCTCAGGGGTACAAAGTATTGTCACACTTGGTATTTGAGCACACAACTCTTCCTTGACTTCCTCTAAATAAAATAAGTAATTTACAGTGCTTAAAGTAAAGTTTGATCCTTCTGTTTTTCATCACATTTTACACAGTGTTACTTTTAAGTTCACAGTTTACTTTAAATAATAGCACTGTAGAACACCATTCTGATTTCACTAAAAGAGCATAATATGATAATGGTGTGAAATTAGAATATGAAAATGGTTGTTTTACTTAATGTTGTTTTAAGCGTGCAGATAAAAGAGAGATTTCAAATTATGATAAAAGTCAGATGTTTAGCATCTGAAAAAGGAATCAAGTCATCATAATTAATACTTATTTAATAAAGGAAATGAGGAAAAACGATCACCTTTAGTACAACAACTTTGCCATATACAAATTAATCAAGGATGTTTTTTAGCTTGTCAGACACAAAATACCAATAATAATTCAATTCTAAATGGTAATGTTACAAAACTATAATTTAAATATAATTCACTTACAGTATGTAAATTACATCAATTTTCTTTTTATTTAGCTTTAATTTATGATCGAAAACTGTAGTGATTTAACATTGTGTTTCCCTTGTGGAGGTTATTCTGATAGTTATTAAATGTTAAATAAATGCATTTTAAATCAGTGCTTCACAAGTGGAAGTGGTTTGATAAGTACAGTAGCAACAGAAGAAGAATCACTTATACTTACAGTGACTGTATTCTCAATCACCTGGCTGTGTGTCTGTAGCGCAATCCCAATGTTAATCCCAGAATACAAGAAGGTTTTCGTTCTTGTATCCCTGTCCTCCTCCTGGGTTCTATCTTGTGTCTTATGTCAGTGAACCCCACAAGCAAATTTGCATTACACAACCACTCTAATGTCCATTATTAATTGGCTATATATCTGACCAACAAACTGTGTAATATAACAATTGTGAAATTCTAAGGCTTGATCAATGATTAATCAACCTTAAACATGCAATTTTTTGTTCCTGGAAAAAACATTGAGAAAGCGATTTAGAAGTTACCAATGACTGAAGAATGATTTCTCTTCACCACTGAAAGTGAGCTTCACCCCCCCTCACCTTTTTTTAAATCATTTGTAATAGAATTGTAGGTGACAGCTTGAGCTGTACTCTTTCCTCTGTGGATATACATAGATGTCCAGGACAATCCAGTTTTAATTTCCAGTCCCGCTGGGCTTCTGCCTCTGAGACTTGAAACTGGCAGTACCACACTGATTCTGGAAAGCTGGTTATAGCTAGGGGTCAGTTGGCCAGAGCCTTACACATCCCAGCCCTGATGCTCAGCACAGAATTTCCTTTTGTGTTCTGGTGTCCAGCGCTGTTCTTCAGTCCACCCATCTGATACTGACTACTGTGGAGTCCTGACACTGGCAGTTTGAGGAGTAGCTGTCAGATGCAAGGGTAGCTTCAAGCTGTCAGATGCTTCTAATTCACAAGGTTTCTGAGGAGCTCTGTGGAAATTTAAAGAATTGAAAGAATTTTAAAGAATTTAGAGCTGCTTCTCCCTCACTCCTGTAAATTTCACACCAATCATTTAGATAGAGGAAGAGTACGTAGAGGTTGTTGGAAATACAATAACAAAAATGATACTGTAGGTAACTGCAATATGTGGAAGATATTCCACATTGTGTTGCTCCCACACAGCACTGGGACCCTGGGTTTAATTCATTGGATGATATCTCTGTATGGAGTTTGTATTTTCTCCCCATTACCATGTGGGTTTCCTCTGGGTGTTCCAGTTTCCTCCCACAAATTTCCTTCAAAGACATTCTAGGTAGGTTAATTGGCTTCTGGGAAAATTGGCCCTGGTGTGAGAGGGTGCATGTTTGTGTCTGTGTATGACCTGTGATAGACAGCCTTGTGACCTTTGCCTGCTGGGATAGCTTCTTTCTCCTCTGATAACCTTTATTGGATAAACCTGTTATAAAATGGATTGATGGATGTGTTTTTTTGGTTGCTTTCCTTTATTATCACCCTGGGACAACTCCAGTGTGCGTCTATTGAAATACACCCTTTACAATGTTTTATATTTAGAGTGCTTCCATTATGTGATTAATAAAGGTGTGGAACTGGCTATTGAGCAGTTCCAGGAGCTTGTCTCTCTTTTTCCCTTTGAATGCTATACAATCCAGGGGGTCAAAATCCCCTGTCATGTCATATAGTTTTAAACAAAATCTTTAAACATGTCTTTAAACCACGTCCTGTACAATTTATTAATTTCATTAGAGCTGAATAAATATGGAACACAGGCTGAGCAAACACGAGTTGGTGAAGGTATCTTCTATTTTTTTAGCTGTGTTTTTAATTAGAACTTAAATTAAAATTTGCACTACAATGAGCCACAAGCGGTAAAAAAATCTGAAAAGGGAAAGGCATTCTGTGTTGAAAATAATAGGATAAAATAAATAAACAGCGCCAGCAGCAACTCACAGCTGGCAACCCACTGAAGCTCAGCAGGTGTGAGCCTGGTCAGTACCTGGATGGGAGACCTCCTGGGAAAAACTAAGGTTGTGGCTGGATGAGGTGTAGTGAGGCCAGCAGGGGACACTCACCCTGTGGTTTTTGTGGGTCCTAATGCCCTTGTATAGTGACGGGGACACTATGCTGTAAATAGGCGCTGTCCTTTGGATATGATGTAAAACCGAAGTCCTGACTCTCTGTGGTCATTAAAAATCCCAGGGCGTTTCTCGAAAAGAGTAGGGGTGTAACCACGGTGTCTTGGCCACAATTCTCTTTGGCCCTTACCAATCATGGCCTCCTAATATGAATTGGCTTCATTGC